AAATGTGGGTTTTTTTAATGGGCCGCCCAGCCTTTGCCAAGCAGGCCCCAAGCCCTCTGCCCTGGCCCCGCGGCGTGTGGCCGCACGGGAGGACAGGAGAGCTCAGCCGTGCCGCGACCCTGCTCGGGCTGCGATATTCAGGCTCGGCGTCCATCAGCAGCTCCCGCTTTGGAGCTCGCCGACTTCTGAACACCTGCAAGTCAAAGAGAGCCTGCCTGCCCCTCCTCCTAAAGATCCCCGGCCTCAGGAAGGAACATAGAGCGTTTCCAAAGCACAGGCTTGGCGCTTTCCGACCGAGTTCATCGGGGAGGCTCCAGCACCCCGGGGAATCCTTAAGCTAAAACCGCTGCCTGCAACGCTTCAGCCCCCTGAACGCACATACACACCTGCTACCGTATACTCTAAGGGATCAGCGGGGTTTAAAATATGGTATAAAATGGCATTAAAGACACGCCACAGTGCAATCTGCCAGCTTGCCACGAATACTGTCACAAGAGGGACAGCGGGGGCTTTGCAGGATCAGTAGCATCCAATGCAAGGCTTGGCATACTGGTAACGTGCGTGCGTGTCGCACCCCCAGGTCCCCACCGAAACCGTTGCCAAGACACCTGCGTGGATCCATCTGCAGAGAAAGTGTGATAAATGCAAATTTGCATGTACAAATAATACCGTAGATCCCGGGGTGCGGAGGTGTATGTGCTAAGCAAGACCAGAAGGCAGCAAACTGATGCTCGAAAAGGCAGGCTAAAATGCTCCGCTCTGCGCTGAGCCCAGAGATGAGGGCTCTGCTATTATTAAGAACCTTTATCTCCCAGGAAACAACAGCTGTCCAAAACCAGTATTTCAAGGAACAGCTCTAGGGGTGATTCAAATTATGCAGTTTGCTCTGCTGTATCGTATTGTACATCTTAATGAACAAAGCCACAAGGACAATTTGAACTGATAAAAAAGGGCTTGCCAGCGATAACAGCTGAAACACGAAAGGATGGTCAGAATATCAATGCAGTTGGAGGATAGACCAAAAAGATCAAACTGTCACGCAGGAAATCTTTTCAAGCACCTACACTGAAGCGAAGCAACGGTGACAGAGGAAAAGCTTTAAAGGTCGTGCTGTTTTGGAAACTCTACCACTGCTCAGCTTTTCCTTCTCCTGGAAAAAAGCAGCAGGTTAGCTTTTCAGAGATCTTCCCCAAAACCTCCCTGCTGTAAAACCGCTTTATCGGCTCAGCGCGCCTTTGTGGGTCAAGCCTCCCGCAGCAGCGATACAGGGCTTGGACGTGTCAAGCAAGAGGGGCCGATAAAGGCCCCCTTCGCTCTAGGCACAGACTTGGGTGGCTTTGGGGAGGGTCTGGGAGAGCACGGGGGAGCACGCTGCACCCCGCAAGCGTGGGGAGTAACGACCACGCTCCATCGACGCCTGTGCAGCCATTACCTGTCCTCTCCCATTGCTGCACCTACCGCTACGGCTCCTATTCGCTGAGCAGTGGCTATCGTCGCTCAAAGACAAACTCTTTGGGACAGGGTTGCATTTCCACGTCACGTCTGAACACGTTTAGGGTAGAAATACTGCATGTAAGCAAGTAGAAAAGATGTCTGTCATTGGAACCTGCACAAAAGGAGTCACTTACCATGCACGTGGAGTAGCAAATGCAGCCCTTTGCGATTGTTCTGCTGGATAGTTCTAGCAGGGCAAAATGAGTCCAGAGCAAGGTACCTCCAATAACTCAAAAGGACTCCTTCCAAGAGCGTCATTTCCTATGGGCAGCTACTAGAGATGACAGCACACCTCCAACGTGAGCTTTGGACAGCGAAACTGTTTCAGTGCAGGGGTCTCTTCCCCTTTTTTTTTTTTTTTTGGTAAGCTAAGACAGCTGTTTTTCAGAACTACTCTGTGGTTTCAGGGGACATGAACTAGGCTGGTATTACACTAGAAGCAGAGGGGGGGAAAAGGCAAAATAAAACAGATTTCAAGTCCCCCTCATCCTAAGGAACGGTTTTCAACCCAGCTGGCTGGTAGCCGACTCGCGCCCAGCCTGCCAGCGAAGACAAGAAACGCCCCGTCTGCTACCAAAGCGCTTATGTCACGCTAGAATATGTCAGCGTTTTGGTGATGATGGGAATTAAGGTATCAATTGTCTCTTGAGGCTTTAAAAAGTGTTTCAACACTACTATGCTATGTAATTCTAGAGCTTATGTTAATTTGACCTAATTTTTTCCCGCTACAGAGTCTCTTAACTATTGAAGAGCAAAAGTTTCCACAGCTTCATACTGCCTGCTTGCTGGCTGGAAAACATACGCGTGCGCGTCTCTGCACGAAGAAGGGAGGCGAAGCCTCAGCTGTTCTTTGTGGGAAAAGCCCACTGAACTTGTGGGCAGAAGATGCGAAGACACGCGTCAAGAAGATTCAGCCCTAGATCGGTGTCAGGGAAGAAGACAAAAATTTCTCTTATCAGCATTAATCAATCTTCTTCCTACATAGCGTGAGCAGTAACTGCTGGAATCGGTGAGCAATACTGCATTTTCGTTACATTTCCAGCCTCTTCAGCAGCTGAAAGCCAACACAGAAAGGCATCAAGGAGGCGATGGAGACCCACGCGGGTTTTGCCAACAGGATGCCAGCAAGCTTTGAGTTTTAGATCCTCCATCATTGCAAACAAAGGTGAGAGGGAAATGTAGGACAGCCACGCGCTGCTGATCCCAAGGTGCTTCTGCTAGGCTGATAAAAAAAGCAACCCACAATGCTGCTTGTACAGGAGATAAAGAGCTGCCGGTCAACGCATCTTTGTGTGCATCCAATCATTTTTAAATAGAGCAGCTCCCTCGCCAAGGGCAGTGTTGATCCTCAGGGCAACGTTTTGCTCCGATGGAAAGTTACCGAGGAGAAATGGCCAGGAAAATGTTATGCCAGAAGGTCCCCCCCTTCCTGGAAGACCATCATCCCTTCACCTCCGCATTCCAAGCGAACCCGTAGGAGGACTTCAAGAGTGATTTCCTACAGCTAGAGAGACAGACCGGAGAAGCACCGCCCAGCTGTAGCTGTGAGGGTGCAGAGCAGCTCCCGGGCATCACCGACCCACCAGCGAGGCTAAAACCCTGCCAAGGCTGCTTCTGAAACCTGGGCAACACAACAGCAGCAGCTAGACCACAGCTATGCTTGAAATCAGCTCGGACAGGAGCCTTGGTGACAGCCGTTTCTGACTGGAGGAACCGCCCACCTCCCCTTCTTATTTTTAATAGGAAAAAAGCCGGAGAACTACTGCAGAGGAGAGCCTAGAAACCTAGAGGCTGCTGAAAATCCACAACCAAGTTGCAACGCTTGCAGCAGAAGAGCAAACGACAAAACCGCTATTTATCACAAACAACCACTACCTCGGAGCCTGAAACGGCAGGTGAGGATAGCGCGCGTTGGAAGCCAGTCCTAGGGCGATCCCCGAAATGACGGGCTGGTAACAATCCAGTTCCCGGGAAAAGGACACTCATTAAAGTTTGTGGGCACTCACATAAACTTAACGGGCTCAGTCAAGCGTCACGACAAATTCTTCCTTTTGGCCTTCCAAAATTCACTGAAAGCATTAACAAATCACCGTAAAACAAAAGAAAACTGTATGCACGTTTGTTTACACTGAGACACGCGGGACCGAGTTTCTCTGCAAACGGCTCTTAAGGAGACTTTAATCAAGTCTGAAACCTACTCTGAAATGAAAGCTGGTTAAGTTAAGAAATTAAAAACAGAACTGAAACAAAGCGACCGGATCGCAACATGGGCAAGCGTTCACGGTGGAGCGTCTCAAGCATCCAAACCTGGGTGCCTGGAGTTCGGTTTTACTGATAACCACCTGGAAAGAGGAAGACAGAGAATGGCAAGGTCTCGACAACACGATGGTGGATGGCAGACGGCGCGCACACGGTGCGCGTTAAGGCACGTTGGAAGAAAGACTTCGACTGCTTGTCCATGCCAGCGGAGTCTGACTTGGTTG